TATTATTAAGAGGAAAGATCAAGGTATTATGGGGGTATTTTACAGTTTTTAATCGTTCGTAGCACGTCCGAAATTTTCGTTAAAAATTTTTTTTATTTTGAGTCAGAAAAATTGGCAGATAATCAATCATATCAACAATTTTTTTCCATTTTTATAAAAAAAAAATGAAAATCTCAGTTTGAAATTCATTTAAAAATCAATTATAATTTTTTCAAAACTTATTTTAAGAAAATCAGAAATTATAATGTTTATTTAAAATATTTTGAAACAAGCATTATTTAGTTTCTACCCCGAAAAGGTGTAGTTTGAAAATAAAACAAAGCAGGTCATAACATTTTGCGTTACTTGACAGGTGTTGAATGACGTATTGACAGATTACGTGAGGATAATTTATTCTCTAGAGAAGTGAAATTATTTAGATTTAAGTGAACAAATTTTTTACCTCGTTATTTTTAAGGAAAACTTTCAGCGCTCTAATTTTTTTTTGTTGTACTTAGCTTTCACCTTTACGTTTACGATGCTTTATGGAAAATATATTACAAAGAAATTCAAATAAGACTGTTGAGAGTGAGATTAAATTTCATAAGAAAGGTATCTAGTTAATTTATAAGTACCTTTCTTATGAAATTTTATCAGAAGTGTACATAAAATACTATAATTTTATGTACATTTATTACATTTTACTGTGTTATTTGGATTTTCATACATTTTATTATTAATTTTGATATTTCATTTATGGAAAAATGTCATAACTGAGATTAATATAAAAATAAGGTCATATAAATTTCATAAGATGATACTGATACTTGTAGGTACCCTTCTAAGTTGAAATTGAAAAATCAAATTAACTTTTCCACGCGTGTTTCGCAAAAGTAAAGGCCTTAACAGCGGAGAACAATGCTTAACTCAAATAACGCAACTTAATTGTATTCTGGTTGATCTTCCGTACTTTATAATTACAACCCAAATATAAACACAAAATTACATTTCTTAATTACTTCTGATTAGTCTTCTGATTAATCAAAACGATACAATTTACAACGCGCTAAAAAAAGATCTATCTCATAAGGACATTTACGAAACTGAATGCGGCTTTTAACTAATTTTATAATATTTTAACAAGTTAAGTGTAAAAATCTATCATAATTATAAGAAATAACAAATAATTGTATTAAAAATTCATTTTTCATCGAAAAATTGTTTTGCTTTCAGAAAATATTGTCCATATTCATAAAAGCAACTAAAAGCAAATAAAAGCATTTGAAATTAAATAATATCTTTGTTTAATTGTTACAATTCAGAGCTGATTTTCAGGTGTGTGTGTGGGGGGGCAATTAAAAAAATACATGACTTGCTTTCATCAAAGACTTGTGCTTTTAACTAATATAATCAATAAACTGAATGCGACTGAATTTCTAGAATTTTCATAAAATTAGTTATGGAGGGGGTTAATAAATATATAAAAATATTTTTTCCATGACTTTAAAAAAGAAAAGATATTTACAATAATTTCCATCATTTGTGAATAGTTTCTGAAAGTTTCATTAACATCCGACAATTATTTTTATTTTTGCAAGATTTTCAAAATTAATGTCTGTCATACAAAAAAAAAAGAAAAAAAAAAGAAAAACGTGCTGAAAATTTATGTTATTTTGCTAGTTATCATATAGCAGGATATAAATGTACGAATGTACTTTAAACTAAGGAAAAGTTAGATCGGGCTATTTCATTCAGCAAATTCTGTAAATAATATTAAAGAAGTGTCTGGTTAAGAACATTTTTAAAAGGTTTTTCGAAATTAGCGAAAAAATCTTTAAAATTTAAATGTAAATTAGCATAAGCTTTTTGTATAATCAACCAAGAAATTTAGATTAAAACCTAAGAGATTTAAATTGAATGATTATTAATTAAATTCAGAGAAACATATTTATATAGGTTAAATGCGTAGAGATCTGAACTGATATGTCCGAGATGTTTGCTCTGTCCTTTGACATAGGGCTTCTCCCTGGATCTATATCCCCTGGAATTTCAAACGGATTACCATATTGTATCATTATACATACATACATACATACATACATACATACATACATACATATATATATATATATATATATATATATATATATATATATATATATATATATATATATATATATTTCGGAGCAATCGAAACAGATAAGCGTACATTTAAATTTTATTACTATATATATATATATATATATATATATATATATATATATATATATATATTGTGTGTGTGTAGATTTTAAGTGCTACAAACATATTTATATAGAGTTTTCAAATAGTGCGTCGATACACGCACACACGCATGTGCGAATACACTTTATATGATTACATGGAAATCAGACCAATGTTTTTCACTTTCAAAGAAAGAATAAATAAAAGTTCATAAATCAATTTTATTTTATTGAATAAGAAACCTTCATAAGAAATTCAAGATATAAAGATGCATGCATTTTGTTATAGAATCTCTTGTTCTTGACCGAAGGTTAATTAAGTTATTCCAAAAGAAATTATAAATGTTTCAAAAAAAGATTTAGAAAGAAAACTCAAATGTTTCAATGACGTTTTCTTTTATGTTTTCAATCTGTTGAGAAAAAGGAACTCAACAAAATTATAAGCGATCTACATCTTTTGTACAAACAACTGGAATTGTTGATGTCCTCATGTACCACATTTTTGAGATTTTGATTTCAAGGTCCTTGTATTATTATTATTATTATTATTATTATTATTATTATTATTATGCGTGTTTCGACTTTCGAGAAATAAATATAGCTGCAAAGCGTAAAGAAATCTATTAATTGTTCATAGGAGAAAATAGAAGAGATGAAAACATTAATTTCAACTTAAAATAAATAATAAATCATTATAGGTCGATTGAGCAATGGATTTTTCTCTTCTCGTCCAGAGAAAAAAATTGTACATTTTTCAGGACAAAAGTTTGTTATTATATTTGGTTAACTTTTTTTTCCCCAATTTTCCGAACGCAAATATCCTTAGCCAAACCCCTGTAAAATATCCTCCACTGCGCCTAAGGATATAATTCCCAACAGTTTGTATAATTTGTGTAATAATTTTGCACTTGAAATATCTCATCCATGATTGAACAGACGATGCCGTTGTATTTGAATTTAAAGAAGTGTCATGTTCCTTCATTATTTAAGTTTGGTGGTTCGACGTTTTGGATGCTCTGATGAAAGATTTCTTCACATTCAAGCAGATTCGAGTCCTTTGTGGAGAATTCAACACAGTTCAAAGGGTCGCCTCGCTCATTTTCGCTGGGTTATTGTGTTCTGCTGAGAAATTTGCCACTTCCAGCTGCTGCGAATCATCCATATTTCTAGGAAAATAAATAAATAAGACAAACAAATCGTCATGAAAGCCGTTGAAAGAATCTGTTGTGATTCAGTCAACCTCAAGATATTTTCACTTTACAGGATTCTTTATTCGATAGTAATTATCCGTGCCCCATTTAAAAAAAATTGAATAATTAAAAAACAATAAATAAATAATAACAATAAAACATATTCTTTCCCTCCCCTTTTTTCGTTGCTGGTCATTTTTACCGGAAGATTTGTAGAGATTTACAACAGTGGAAAGTGCAATGTATCGACAAGCCTCGGGTCATCTCACTTGCTATGTTCACTGTCTTTGCAAATGGCCGCAAAGGAAAGAAGCAGTGACGTGCTTACAGCGCTATTTTTTTTCCCATAACGGAGCAAAAGCAGTTGTGCAAGTTGACCCCTGGGTTTCTAGCAATGACCGTAGCGAGTACAAGTGACAAGAGACAGGGACACAGAAACCGTACGACACGGGGAGTCTTGTACGTCACAGACGACAGGGAGGGAGACGAACTAGGGACGAGAGCTGTCAGAACATTCAGTCAAGAGGGGGTTATTCTTCAATAGAAGATTTGAAGATAAATTGTTAATCAAGTGATTGCTCAACTGATCCCGTTTCTCACTTCCACTCCCCTCTCTCCCTCTCTCTCTCACGTACTCCATCTTTCTCCATTTGGATAGAGCTTTCAATTGTTAATAGTCATTTCCCTCATTTTTGATGATGTCTATGTTAAATATATCAGTTTGTTCCGAACTCTTTATATGTCAGCCTATATTCATCAGTCCTTATCTATCTATCTATCTATCTATCTATCTATCTATCTATCTATCTATCTATCTATCTATCTATCTATCTATCTTTTTTTCATTATCTATCTATATGAATCTGCTCATATCTATCTATCTATCTATCTATCTATCTATCTATCTATCTGAATCTGCTCATATCTATCTATCTATCTATCTATCTATCTATCTATCTATCTATCTATCTATCTATCTATCTATCTATCTATCTATCTATCTAAATCTGTCCATATCTATCTATCTATCTATCTATCTATCTATCTATCTATCTATCTATCTATCTATCTATCTTTTTTTTATTATTATCTATCTATATGAATATGCTCATATCTATCTATCTATCTATCTATCTATCTATCTATCTATCTATCTATCTTAGCTTGTTCAAATGTATCTCAGTATTCATATATATGTATGTATGTATGTATGTATGTATGTATGTATGTATGTATGTATGTGGTGGCGTGGCCGAGTCGTTAGAATATTCGCTTTTCGAAACTCGGGTTTGAATCTCAGCAAGGTGATTCCTTGATATTCTCGCTCTGAAGGAGCGTGCGGCCTGATTGCCTGAAAATCATACCACACGCTGACCCAAGCTCAATGAGTGGAACTGAGAATCCGTAGATAGTTTTGCTAGTACGAAGTCACAACCCCCCCCGTGACCAAGTGTTTGAGCACACTAGCCTAGTTCAAACTGCTGATCATGACAGATGATGGGCTCTCTTCCAGAAATTGTAACTAAGTTCCATTCAGTATAGACGCGCTATAAACCACCGGTGGTCTGATCAGGCGTCTGCAACAGAGATTGATTAGCCACACAAGCAGATGGATGTGCTCGGAAAACGAGTAACCAGCCATTATCTATCTATCTATCTATCTATCTATCTATCTATCTATCTATCTATCTATCTATCTCTAAGGTGTTAAAGGTAAACCAATTTACAACTGTAGTGAGATCCATCCTCGTTGAGAACTCAGCTGCTATGACCTTGTGCCAAACTAATGTACTTTCATATCTATCTTACATTCCTCATATTCATCAACTTATTGAAGAACTACCGTAGAGCAGTTATAGGATTTATAGATACCTTGCTGTGCATTCATGTCCGCATTTCTGAACAGAAGACAATGTGACAAACCTAAGGACATGTTATGGTGAAAGGGTGTATAAGTTTCTATCTATCTATCTATCTATCTATCTATCTATCTATCTATCTATCTATCTATCTATCTATCTCAGTGTCTTTATATCTATCTATCTATCTATCTATCTATCTATCTATCTATCTATCTATCTATCTATCTATCTATCTATGTCATTCTGTTCATATCTATCTCATCACAACTGGTTACCATTTTATTTTTGCGTCGTTCTTTCGTGTCATTTAAAGTTTCCCTCTCCCCCTTCCATCTCCCACTCCCCCTTTCTTCTCCCCTATCTGTTCTCCTCTTCCATCAAGTCCCTCCATGACCTGTTTTATTATTTCTCCTTGATTTACCCATTCCCATCCCGACCGTTTTTCTTGTAAGGGTCCATTGCTCCCATCTGAAAAATCGACAGGGAACACGTAAAGCCAATTGTCCGTTTTCTCTCCCCCTTCTTCCACCCCACGTCTTTTCTCCATAGGTTCCGACTTCTCCTACCTTTGCCCCTTCTCACACTCTCTTTTCTTTATTCTTTCTTGGTTTTCTTTTCACTTTCACTGACTTCGTCTCATTCCTCTCTATCCTCTTCCTTCTGTTCTGCCTTTGTTCTCCCTTTATTCTACCTAGTTCTTTCTTTCTTTCTTTCTTTTTTTTTCTTTCTTTCTTTCTTCTTCTTCTTCTTCTTCTTCTTCTTCTTCTTCTTCTTCCGATCTCTCCTTCTTTGATTTTATTCTATCCACTTCCACTCATTCAGTTCGGTCTATATAGTCTCGCCTTTTCTTTTCTTTCTCTCTATGTTCACCTCTTCTTTTAGTCCCCCCTTTTCTCCCACTTCCAAATCATTTTTTTTTTCATTTTCCTTCTCTTTCCTTTTTATTTCCATCTCTCTCTCTCTTCATTGTTTTTGTCGATTTCTTTTTCCAGACTCTACACGAACTTCATCTCATTCCTTTTCCATTGACTCTTTTGATTCCTGTCTGGTACAAGGTTAAAGTGAAAAGAGAGATGGATCATAGGAAGGTTGTGCATCGTTAATATTTCAACCAACCTTGGAAATTGAATTATTTTTCTTTTGTTACCTGTGTTCAAACAATAACGCTTTTGCCACGCTGACAAATACGCAACGACCAGAGCCATTTTCCTGCTGAATGCTTTTTATTTTCATTTTACTTCTTTTTTCTTTATTTCTCTAACATTTCTTATCCATTTTATTCCTTATTTTCTTTATGTCTCACGTGTTACTCCACTTTTTACTTTTGCAAACATTTTTTGTTTTTAGTCTTACTTCGCCAAAATTTGTTCGTTTCTTTTATTTTTAAATCTCTTTCTCTTCTTTTTCCCTTTTCTTTCTCATACTTTTACCTTTGCGTTCTCTCTTTTCCTCTCTTCTTTTCAATTTCTTTTTCTCATCATACTCTTACTTTCTCGTTCTCTCTATTTATTACTTCTATTTATATCTATTCTTTTCCCTTTCTTTCTTTCTTTCTTTCTTTCTTTCTTTCTTTCTTTCTTTCTTTCTTTCTTTTTCTTCCAGTTATCTTCTTTTCCTCCTCATACACTTACCTTCTCGCTATATTTCTTTTATCTATCTTTTTTCTTTTTCTTTTTCATCATACTCTTAATTTTTCGTTCTCTCTCTCTTTCTCTCTCTCTCTTTTTCTCTCTCTCTTTCTCTTCCTCATACTCTTACATTTTAATTCTCTACCCCGTCTCTCTTTTCATCTTTTTGTTCTTCCAACAACCCAGACTGCTTTTTTTTCACCATAGACGTGAATAGATAGGAGTTGGGTGGGAGGACTGAATTTGCTTCCATGGGAAATGTCCGTGAAGCAATTGAGGAGACAAGAGAGCCGGAGAGAGAGGTTTGGAGGTAAGGACTACAGACTATCAGCCATGTCTATCTCGTGTCCGTGACCCGTGATCATTGGCCACATATCATTATGTCAACACCGACCACCTGATGCGTACACGAACTAAGATATTGCATCCCACGGATCGCTAACTGCGCAATTTATGAACCGACAATGCTTAAGAATATATACTGTCACACGCAATTTGTTACCTGTTCTTTAGAAAGAAAGAAAGAAAGAAAGAAAGAAAGGAAGATAGAAACTATAAGAGAAATTGGGAATTCATAAAATAGAAGGAGAAACGAATGTGCCTTAAAATTAAACATAAATAAACAAAAAATTACTGAAAAAACGAAGAGGTGCTGAAAAGTTTTCAGCTCGACCATGAAGGGATTCCTTCCAAAATTAAGATGTTTGGTCAGATTTTGGGAAGTAGGTTGGGCCTGTGACATTTTCAGTACTCACCCTATATTTATATATATTCTTTAGAATATATATATATATAGGGTAGGTCGATTTTGGAACTATAAAAAGAATAACTCGAGGAAAGTTGCAAAATAACGTCAAAAATTACCACAAAAAATATTTTTCTTCAAAACTTCGTATTTATTTGAGCAATCGAACTTAAAGACAAAATAAATTGCGAATTTTTTCATCATAACGGTGTCACCGGAGACATGTGTATGTTAAATTAAAACCGAGACTTAACGAAAAGAAAAAAAGAAAATAACGCTTAATAATGGATATTTTTGAGTTTATTATCTATTCTCTTATTAAATTAAATGAAATTACTACAAATAAAAAATAAAACACACTAAAATATTTAGTTTAAAATAAAAATAACTACTCATGAACGGCGTCGTTTTTACTGGGTATTTTTTCGGTATTTACCGGTAGTAATTACCTCCTCTTGTATGTTTGTTTTATTTTTGTTTACGCTTTTAACTAGCGCAAATATCTATTTTATTTTTCATCAAAATATACTTAACTATTTAAAAAAAATACAACTTTTATAATTATTGTAATTTGTTTATATTTTGAAAATTAATGTTTTATTAAAAATCCTGTTTACAAGCTAATCCCGGAACTAACTCTACTTTTATATAAACATTACTTTTTTAATTTAATAATGCATTTCAAGCTTTATTTTCCAATTTATTTTGAAAAAATATTTTTGTATAATTTCTGATAATACATATATTTTCTTTGTCAGATATTTTAATAAAAATGGCAGGAAAAAACATCCCAAAGGGTTAGCATACCGTGAAATTTTGATAAGGCTTTCTAGCGGCTAGCCTTTTCAAAATTCCACGGTATGCTGTTGAGTTGATCAGGGGTGACAATCTTGGAGCCAGCCTTGCAAATGCATTGCTCTTGGATTTGAGGGCTATGGGCTTTCTCATCCCCAATATTAATATAAAAAGATATTTATATAGATAAATGTAAAGTTGATAGAGCAAAGGTTAAAGTGAAAAAGTGATGTTTTGCATGAATTCAACAGTGCGAGCACTATCAAGGCTATCCTTGTTGACAAACACTAATGCCAATTCAGGCTGTGAAGGTGGATTTGCTGCACCTCTAGAAAGAAAACTTAACAGAAATCTTCATACTATTAGTTGCTCCTTGCACCAAAATAAACTTCCATTTAGAGCTCTTTTTAAACATGTAGATGGTACCACAAAATAGCCCTGCCACATTCAATGGTCCACTTGGAAGATTACGTGCAAATGATTGCCATAATTTACCCCAAATATCATTTTCAGCTGTTGGCAGTCCTCTGGATTCTATTTTTAAAATTGAAAATACAGATTCCCTTAGTTGTTACCAAAGACTCCTTTATGAATTACAGTGGGTATAGGTGGACTTTAGATTTGCATCATGGAAAATTGGTCCATTAAACCAGGCAAGGTGGTTAACTTTAGGCATCAGTCTGATGTGCTTATGGACTCATGGTGCATACCCACGAAATATTTCAACCAAACTCCACAGTTTAATAAATTTTATTGTGAATGTGTATACCATTTGCCAGTTCCAAAATAAAAGAAATAACAAGTTCCACAACCAGCAAATGTATATTTTCAATATGATTCAAAGGATTAGAAAGCAACCATATGAAATCCAACAGATCACATTGAAAAATATACAATACAATGCTTTCGCCTTACTGCTTGAAAATATCTTATATTCAATGGTCAAATCTGATGAACGGGAAGTGAGGGAAGAAGCTATAAAAAGAATTTTGGCCATTAGGTTAGTAAATATTTATTCCTATAAAATTGACTAAATTAGTTATACCGATTTATGGAATCATTTTAAGGATTTTATCTAATTTCAACATAAATATTAAAGCAGTACAGAGTGCAATTTTTTAAAAATAAATCAAATTAATTTTTAAATTCTTTCAAGAGTGGGGAACAAATTAAAAAGAATCACAACTATCAATTTTAAAGCTATGCACTGGAGACAGTTAAAAGATCTGTCATTAAGTGGAATTTCTGAACCACCACTCATAGAAGAATTTTCTGAAAATGAACTTCGGGAATAATTATTAAATGGTACGAAACTTGACTTGCCAGATTTGCCCTCAGATTCTCAAGGCATGAAACGGGCAGTCAAGTTAACAACAGAAGTTTCCCAATCTGTGTATGGCTTTGAAGCAAGGCACCAGCACATAATATCAAAAGCTTTGTCAGAAATTGTGACCATCAAGTTCATCTGAGGGTTCTTATAAGGAGCTATTTGACTATATATTAAGCCCTATTAAACTATTCTTTATTTTTTCATATTTGTTTGTTTGTTGTATTTTCATTCAAACTAGAAAAAAATCAATTTTTTAATGTATTTCAACTAATACTGCTTAATTCATGAGGTAAAAACAGCATTTCAAAATCATCAGTGATAGGGGAGGGGCAAATTTTCAATTTGAGTTTATTTATAATTTCTACATTTTATTTCATTTTGCTAAAACAAAATAACAACATTCCCTGATTTAAATAGTGAAATTGTTTGTTTTTTTTTATCAATATTTAGTCTAAATCTTGCAAAATCGTGGATTTTTCAGTGTTTTTTTTTGTCTACGATATTTGATGCCAAATGCTCAAAAAACCGTTGAAGTGACAAATCTAATTTTTTGTATCAGTACTTAACTGGTCTATACACAACTTTCCGTACATTATTCTTTTGATATTTTAAAAAAGATAAAAAATCGACCTACCTAATATATATATATATATATATATATATATATATATATATATATATATATATATATATATATATATATATATATATGTATGTATGTATGTATATATGTATGTACGTGAACGTGAAGAGAGACACAAAAGAATTAGAATGTAAGATTATGAGGAAGAGAAAATGAGAAAGAAGAGAGATAAATAGAAGTGAGAGAAAAAGAAACGGTAAGAATATGATGAGAAAGAAAATGAAAAGGATAAATAGAAGAGATAAATCGAGAAGGCAAGGGTATGATGAAGATATATATATATATATATATATATATATATATATATATATATATATATAATTTATAATTTCATGAATCATTCATACAAAAAACAAATATAGAGGTTAATGATTTAAATGGTGAGAATACATCATCGCAAACAATATAAATAAGATACATCAACCCCGAACCTGTATATGAATGATATGATCCCCGTTTATAAATTCCAGTTGCATAAGGTCTTTTTAATTTTTTACAAGCTTTCGTCAGTTCCTACAGACATCATCAGGTATGGAAGTAGATTTTGTTCTTGTTTGTACTTCTCAGTAATAAGAGGACAACGAAAATAGAGATGTAATCCGAAAAAATGCTATGAGAAATGTGTTATTGTTCTGGAACGTGCGGTCGCAACGCTGAGTTTGAATATGAATTTTAAGGTTCTGCGTTTTTGTACAAATATAGCAATAAGAGAATTCTTTTCACGGAAAATCTACCCTGTGAAATATTTGCAATCTCCAATCATATAACAAGGCATCTCTACTCATTTCCGTCAGATTTCGGTCCCGAATACATTGCTAATATAAATGCAAAACAGCGATTATAAAGCCAGGTGCCCTCCAATATGCGACAACTAGTGAAGTAGGAACTGACTGCAATAGTCACAATTTTCGAGTCGAGTAGTTTTTTAAAATAAAGTTCACCCTATACATGACCTAAGAGCCACTCAAGGTAGAGTCTTACTGAATTATGTTTAATTGTTTCCTCAATAAGATAATAAAAAAGTCCCTAAGATGCAAGGGGTTACTAAGAATGAAAGAAACAGAAAGGACAATAAAAGAACAGGATTCAAGGAAACAGATGATAGCGATTGACATTGCATTTCAGTTTTTGAAATTCGCAGTTGATAAGAAAATAGGAAACCGGAAGAGAGTTCTACAAGCGAGAAGTGCGAGAAAAGAAACAATTTAGCAAAGGAGAGGAAGTAGGAACAGAAGGTTAGGGTGATATATGGGAAAGATAACGACTGACTTAAAATTGTAGTGTTCGTTAAAGCATCCAGGCGGGAGTCTGTACTACAAAGTAGCGGTTCTCGAGAAGAACGTCTTTCTTACCAAAAGAGAATACGTAGGGAATGGGGCTGATTCAACCATGTGGATGTAACAAGGCGGGCTTCGCTACAAAGGTCTGAATTGGTGGTACTAAAGAATGGAGCTCGTCTGAACATTTAACATGCAAGTAGCAAGAGGCTTGCAACTTTGCCTCTGTGGGGAAAGGAGCTGTAGGGTGAAAAATAATTCTTGCTCTCCATTGACCCCTGACAAGATTCCTTCGTAAAACAGAAAAGCACATATAAAGGGCTTCTGTTGAGGATCAAACTAACCATAGTAGTCAATTTTCGAGATTAGACGTCTGACTATTGTTTCTCAACGAGATTACAGCTTAGTAGATCACAG